AAGGATTCAGGGTTCACTACTTTTGCATTCACAGCAGAGAAATCGTACGTTGACAAGGCAGTGGTAGAGAAAGTCCTCGATGCGAAAGTACTCGAGAGCCATAGTTCGTTTGAAGAAAGTTTGCTTTTTGGGCAGGAATGATTGACTAAACACAAGTTACTTATCTTGCTAGGTCCTTCCCAATGCTGTTTCGCAGAGTAATATAATCTTCATAGCTAGGTATAAGATTTCGAATTTTATTCTAAAAAACTAGCTTCTCTCCAGGGAGACTTATGCCTATCATCATTTCAGCAAGACTGAAAATTGTCACAAGAAGGATCGAGAGAGCTTCAGATGCTTTGCTAGGGTGGTAGACAAATCACCCTTTCCATTTTGCTTTTGAGGGTTTTTTAGAACAGCGTCCATCAACATACACTGTAAGCCCCAAGAAAATAATGGCCTTTACGCCAGTTATTTACAGCTGCTGCTCTATATGCGGCTGTAAGGCCTCTTTTCAACTCGCAACTTTTTCTTAATATTGCGGTTCTTTAAAATTATGAATATATACATAATAAGACTTTATACAGTATTTTTAATTCAACTTTTATATTAAACAAATTAGCAGTAAGAATTCTCACTGATATCATCACAAAACGCTATGCTTTGCTGAAATGATAAAGTATGTATTTCAAAAGGTTTACTCTTTACAATATGTTGCGAGAAGAAAAGGGGAACCAATTCATTACTTTCTATGTCAATGTCTCAATCTATAAACAAGGCACTTGGGACCTCTCGTTTGCACCACCGCAGCACACCACTCGTAGAAGTCATACATCCTTTGAGGCGGCCCTTGAAGTATTCGGGAGAAAGATTCTGCGGAGCATGCACGAACCCTTTGCGCGGTGGCGATAGATAGCCAAGCTCTATGAGATCCGATACAACGATATGGACATATGTAGTGCTGTAGATTAAGATACAGTGGTTTCGATGGAAAGTTGGACTCTTTCGCATTGCTTCATTCATACCAGGTGACTTTCACAGCGCAAATGCACTAATCGTTATAAGCCGATGGATTTTTATCGCCTCTAAATATTGTATCGTATAAATCAGCCGGCCGACTGTGGGTTTCTAACTTGGCTTCAAAGTATAATTGGTAAAGTAAGGGAAAGTTGTAAGTATTATATCATTTAGAAAGTAAGATAAATGGCATTACTATAACACTTTTCACATGCGTGTGATCCTTAAAAGTCTACGTATTTTTCTGAAAAGTTGGTTATGAGTCTTAAAAGAACCCAGAACTTCCAGCTTATCATCGCCTTCTCTCGGAATTTTAAGTGGTTGGACACCTAAGAAGCCGTCGATCCACATTCGAATCAACAATAGATCTACACACTATACAAAGAGCCCTCCTCAATGCGGCAAATGAACGAAAGACGTTGTCATAATGTACAGTTAAGAATCCTTGGAAAATACGAAAGTGCACTGGAAAGTCGTATTGGCCCTGCAGTTAGTGGTTAGTTTCTAACCTCAGTTCATACATCATGCCATTACAGTTCATCACTGCATCTTCTTCGCTGCCCTTATACCTGAGACATTAAAGAAAATAGTGATTCGAAATCGTCAACATTTTAGCAGCACTTTAAAAAATGTATACCAAAAATTAGTGTTCATAGAGAAAGGCTTCTGATTTTGAAGTGGCGGCCGTCAAATTCCGGTCTTCCTAGGCAGCTTAGAGTTTTGTGAATTTCGGTTCTTAAATTTGCATCTCTTTTCCCAGCTTTTCAACATCACTCACAAGTAAGCGCCTTCGATATCCTAAGCGCTATGAGTATTTTATGATTAGCAACTAAAGTCTACAGAAGACCTAACCCTCGAAACGAATGCAAATTTTTTTCTATAATATTTTCGAGCTGTATTAAATCCTACGAGTCTTACTGCCTCACCCTTCTTCCTCGTTAAAGCAATATTCCTATCTTTCCTACCTTTATTCATCCAGGAAAAAACTACAGCCCCTCTTTGGATAGCCAACGGATCAGAACGAAAATGGACGACCCGCTGAATTTACTCCACTACTTACTTTATTTTAACATACACAGAGAAATTGCATTATAATGGAGAGTACATCATAAAATTTATTTTAAAATTAAAAAAAATTAAAAATGTTTGCGATACATCTTTTCCAGTCCTCCTGGCTCTGTATTAAAATTTCTGCAACATTTTATTTAAATAAATTTTATCAATTACCACTATATTGAACATCCAATCTCCTTGACAATAAGTATATACATATGTAACTGCATATTTTTAAATTAAATCACAGCAAAGTTCAACAAGCTACATAATGACAGGAATACTCTTGTCATACACTTTCACATTCGCATTCACCCATTGGCGCAAATGCACAAGCTTAGGTACATGCAAAGCACGTCCATACACTTGGTGCAAGTACGACTAGGTATGTAGATGTAATTGCAGAAAGTTAAACTTGTACGCTCAGCAGTTAGTTTTTATGTGGCAACTTTGTTGCAACCGAGTCAGACAACAGAGTCAATGCTAATGGCTTAAGTGTTCAAAATGTTTTAAATGTGAATACACTTTGATGCCATTGGCTGTTTGTTGCTGCAACTTTGTCCACTCAGTTGGCAAAGTGTCACAAATCGATGTCATTAAAGTGTTGCTGTAATTAAATTTCAAAGCTATGCTGGTGAAAGGAGTGAACAAAAATAAAAACTAAAATAAGAAAATAATGTAATAAAAGACAAGAAAAAGTGGATGCAAGTAAATGATGTGGGGAAGGTGAGGGAGCGCACGGAGTGCAAAATGTTAAATTGAGAAGTGAAATGGTGGGTGTAGATTGAAGAATGCATTGAACACGGCAACGCATATTAGTAAAGTGTTGAAAGTTATTGAATGAAATTTTAAATGAGATATATTTAAGCAACTCCTTGTGACTCGAAGACTTGCTGTACACTTGTAATTTTATACCTAATAGCTTCTGTTCCATAACATAATTTTGTTTCATATAAATGCGAAATTGTTACTTTTTATTCAAAATAAATGAAAAAAGTCGATTTGCTTAAATTTGTAAAATGTGAAATACTTTAAAATTATTTGCTGTAAATATTTCAGAACCCGTTCCGATTTAACGTTAAAATAACTAATTAACTAAGTAGCGTTTGATTATGAAGAACAGGTAGGTATTTTCTAAATAAAGCTTTTTTTCGAGAAAAGGCTTTCTTTATCTTCTGTCGTTAAACACTGGTATTTGTAAATTTTCATTTAACCTGTGATTAAATTGAACAGCAGCTTTTTAACTAAGAGCGACCCTCTTCAAGAGTATTTTAGAAATAAAAATTACATTAATTTTTCTCTCGGTGTCAAACCCATGTTAATGTATTTCATTTAACTTGCCAATTAAAATGACTTAAAATTTCTAAACAGGTGACAACTTTCATACAAAATATTTTCGAAATAAAGATTTATGGTTTATTACCCATATTTGATGTACATAAATATCATTTAACTCCTTATTTAGATTGATTCTGAATTTCTAGAAGGGTGACAATCCTCTGCGAAAATATAAATATAGAAATAAAACCTTCATAAATTCTTCTCTATTCACACCTATCCATGTGTATTAAAAGGTAATGGAAATTTTTAATCAGGTGGCACCCCTATTCAAAATTTATTTAGTATTCAAGCTTACCTAAACTCGTATTGTTTGATACCCAAATTATTTAAAATATATCATTGAACCTGTTAATCGAATTGATTTTGAATTTCTAAATATGTGGCAACCCTCTAATAAAAATTTTCTAAATAAAACTCTCTTAAATTTTTTTATACACATATTAAAATATGTAATTTACCTTGTTATATAAATTGATTTTGAATTTCCAAACAAATGAAAAGCCTAATTAAAAATATTTTTGAAATAAAGCTTTCTTAAACAATTATCGTCCGATATTTGTATTATAATCTTTGATTTAGCTTATTGATTAAATTGATTCTAAGGTTTTGAAGAGTTGGCATGCTTCTTCATAAATATTTTCAAAATAAATTGTTTTTGTACTCTTAACTTAGACACCCACGTTGTTGTTATATGTTGTATTTAACTAATTAATTAAATAATTTGAAATACTGAAATACAAAAGATTATCCTATCTGTTATCTGCGCTTATAAGCTGTCTGTCCGCAGAATTTCATTGAAACGCGTTCAAGTATTTTAGCGTGAAAGAGCAACAAACATGCTCACACACTAACAGCCAGTTTCACCAAACTATTTAAGTAGAAATTAACTTTAATTTAATTTTGTATTTAATTCTCATTTAAATAATTTTCAGTTTCAATAAACTATTTATTTAAGTGAGTAAAAAGTGGTTGTAAAACAGACTACGACTAGCTTTCGCTTTCATTTGTACTGAGAGCTTTTGAAAGCTTTGGCACGCTGTGTTGTAAAAGCAGGGCTGGTATACAAGTAAGCAGCAGATACACAATGATCAGGTGATTAAACGTGTAACACCTCTGAGTGTGGTTGTTCTGATTTAACTTTTATTTAAGTGCAGAGCATAGGTCACTTAAATCAAAATTAAAATTGATTGGTGAAACCGAAAATTCGAAAATTTTCACTTAAATAATTTGGTGAAACTGGCTGTTATTCACAAACTTTACCCTTTTACATATCGACGGATGAACGGAAGATCGACCTTCATATCTCAGCAGCCGGTTCGAAAATGCGCTACAGACCATCTAAGTACCAAAGTTTAGTAAGATTTTTAAATTTGAAAATTCCTTTAAACAATACAAATGGTTCTAGATTCAGCTACACAGTTTTTTTTTTGTTTTTTAGTTACTTTGTGGACTTCATTTTTTCTTTTAGAAAGCAAAGTGCATATTTTCGTTGCAACCTTTTAACACTTTCTCGTAGCGTTTCAGAAAACTGTTGTTTTGATATCGTAATATTAATTTGTATTCTTCTTACCCTTTGCAACAACTAAAAGAATTAACTATTCGCTACTCACCTCTATCCTGCGCTGTCAGCAATGACGATGACAGTGTCTGCTTCAGCTTGCCGAAGGTGCCGCCAGCATCGGGTTGATTCTGTGTGGATGGCGTCTCATCTGTGGCGACCATCTGAAAGCGAAGGAGATAGAGAGAAAAATGGTTGAACAGTAATATGAGTAAGTGTGGCTGGTGGAGAAAAAAAAAGAAAATACATTTAATTTTTTTTATTTTCATTCTCATTTTCATTCTCATTTTAAAAACTGCAAGTAATTGAAAAATTGTGATGAAAAACGAAGTAGCAAACGGAGAATGATGCGCTGTTGCTGGCGTTGATGGGTTATTTGGAATTCAATGTTTTTTTTTGTTTTTGTTTCGTGCTTCTACTTTTTCTCCCTTCTCCCTACTCCTTTTATTGTTTTTGTTGATGCGACACAGGTGCATCATTTTAATTAAATTTTTGCAAAAAAAAATAAAAAATAACAGAAAAAATGCAGCGCACCGGATCCTTCAACAGCGGCCATAAAAATGCTATAAAAGCCAGTTGTGTGAAAGGAAAATTTTTCCTGCCAATCAAAGTGCGAAGCTGGTGAGTAATGTGTTGTGCCTCGCGCACTCACAAGCCAACGCATTTTGTTTGTATGTCACTTTGTTGCTTTGACTTTTAGCTTTGGACCCTTTTTATTTGTATTCTTTTTATTCTATGCTTTTGTGCTTTTGTTGCATTCATTTTTAGTAGCCATTTACTTGATTTTCGCTTCTCTTTTCATTGGTTGCCTATCACAAACACACCTGCGACAAATTAACTGTACGCATGTGATACCAAAGAGTCCCACACACACACACACGCACTCAAGTTATCATCATACGAAAGTGTAAGTAAGAATGTAAGCTTATCCCCTAAAAAAGGACTGCTGCGCTACAATAAACTTAGCGCGCGCATGACACCGTTGCAGAGATAAGCGTCAGAATACAAAAAAAAATAAATAATAATACAGCTTGCCTATTACCTTGCTAAATTGTCCCTATGTTACACATGTGTGGGAGTGCTGAACCCACGATATATGTACATGCTTATATGTATGTATGTATGTGTTCATCCATTAGACATAAAAATACTTTGTGGATAGATAATCGTATATTTTATCGCTGCTAAAGGACATTTTTATGATGCAATAATTTGGGTTGAAAAATTGAAAAAAAAAGAATCGAGGAAACATTTGTAGTACATACAAACGTCTACTATATATATGCTTGCGTATTGACAGGAAATCAACATTGAATAAATGTAAAGGAAGTGGCTTCGTTGGTTTTGCTACTTTTTGTGCGTGTTTTAGCTTTTACCCCTTTTCAACAATAAGATTAGATTAGATTAAATTTAGTTAGAGGTTCGAAACTATGTTACAAGTGTTGGAGTATGTTCGCATGCCGAAAGCGCCCTTCTTTCATTTCCTTGTTATTTCATTTCGTCATCGTGGACATACATACGTATGTACTTCAGTAGATACAATATATTTTTGTATGTAGTTAAATAAATTGAAATATGTATTTGAAGAGAAGATTATAACAAGCATCATAATACATAGTGGTGCTATAAAGTGTGTAGAAAGAGAGTTGAGGAGCAAAAAGTAATCAGCAGCCACGTACCGCGACTAACCTGAACGAAACGATAATCCCAAATAATCAATTTAAGAGTCGATCCGTGAGGTAACGAGTACTTGAATTGGTTTGTTTGTCCGCTAAGAAGAATCAGGCAGGCAAGAGCGGTCCGATGGTGGAACGCTAACTTGCCAAACTTTGAAAACAATCCAGGAGACTTCTGAATACGGCTTTTAAAACCCGAAAAGAGGAGGACTGGTCACTATAGGCATTGTCGATGATCCACTGTGCACATTTTTTTTTTGTTTTTTTTTTGAAAATTAAGATAGTACAGAATATTTGCTCTGCCGCTGTTCCGGCCTTCGCCAGACTTAGTTGGTAAATTTTTGGGTCGGATGTATTGTGAGTGAACGAGGTACATTCTTTTTCCCTCAATAGACAACTAAGATTCATAAAGGAGTCTGGTAAGCTTGCAGAGGACCAATGAATTCCAACACCACCTGCATGCATATATCGCTTTCCTCTAAATCCTGTTACACTACAAAAATGACTGTCCACTGTTTGGAGAAAGTTATTTTTGCTAGTTTTTCCGGCTGCCCCCAATTTCATTACATTCAATTGCAAGTTGTGTTGACCTTGACCTGAATGTTGTTGATAAGATTGCTAATCAGCTTTCGTTAAAAACTCGAAACGTAAAGAGTTGAAAAGCGGAAGCAGTAAAATGGCTAATAAAGTGGGGTTTTTTTTGAAAACGCTATTGGACTTTGTGAACCCACAGAGTGAAAATATGTTTCTACTTTTTCCAAAGCAACATTAAAATCCCCAAACAAATTTAAGAACAGTTTACCGGACTTTTCGAAACTTCCTTTCCTTGCCATTTGTTTTGTTTTTAATTTTTCGTGATCGCTTGGGCTTTTCCTAACTTTTCAGCGTTAGTCGTCTTGCCGTGGCGAGTGGGCTTAAATGGTGTCATGGTAAATTACACAGTGTGAAGAGTACCATGTCTCCTTGAACTAGGAGGGAAGCCTGGTATTGCAGCCGCCTTCGGTAGTACTCCTCAATAAGCCAAGCCGGACTGTTGGTGTACTGCCGGGAGCGACAATGTCAGTAGAACCGTACGAACACTACCCAAGCCAAGGTGTGCAGGCAACTGTGCCGATGGATGAATGGCCAGTGGGTAGAAAAAAATGGCTGGTCTCTTACGGTCCCCTCCGATGCCCGGGCAAGCGTGGCAACTCTTTTCAAAAAACTAAAAGCAGTTTGCAGAGTTTCTACAGAGACCAAGCGCTTTAATTTGATGTCTCATTTTCTTAAAATCGGGTAAACGATACAGATCTTTTGTTCTGGACAAAAAACCCCTTCGCCTATTATAGATACATATATTTAGATAATTCTTCCGTTCTCTTCTCACAAGTCGCCCAGATAGGATGGTAATTGCAAAGCTGTTGTCTTGTGAGGGAATCAACCCACGCTAATATCCTAAAACCGTAAACGGCAAAGTGAAATTAGCTATTTTAACGTCTACATTATATCTAGTATATTCGTAAAATAAGTCGTCAAAGTAAAACCAGTTAAACCAACACTTGATGCTGTCAGCCACTTGCACAAATACATACATACATAGCTAGAATCTTAAAATGGCTCTATAACACATTTTGCTTAAGCAGTGTAGCGAGAGTGCGGATTTTTTGCACCAGTTACCCACACTAGCACACAGACCGCGAGCATCATGGCGTTTGTAAATATTTGCGCTCATTTATTTCAACATGTACTTATATATGTATACACACACCTATATTGCAAATATATGTAAATCACTATCCTATGAGTACATGAAAACCAAAGACGCCTTTTACTCAAAGCAAATTTAGATGCTTCTAAGAAGTTGCCGCATTAAGGATGTCAGTCTTGTTGAAAAAGGTAGATCCCCCTTCCACTAGCATTTACATACACTTTCCTAATCTACTCAACACTTTTGCTGGTTTATCGCCGAAATTTACAAATTCGACAGCATTCACTTTGTTGTAAACTCAGTGTTTGTGTTTTAGATTTATGCCAACACGTTGCTTTGAGCAGATAAGTGAATATTCTAATCCGGAAGGCGTTGAAAGTTGTGCAAGATGCGAAAGCCACTGCGTTTAAGTGGAGCGAGCGCAGCTGTCTGTGGTGATGGCTGAAAGGGGGAACACGCTTTCTTTCAAGTTTATAAAGATCGTGTAAATCAAAATCAATAATGGTATTCACAGCTTTATGGTTATTAAGTTATTAGGTTATAGGGTTATGTGATTAATGTTTTCGCGGATATTTTATAACCGAAAGCTAGAAAAAATGTGATTCTAAAAGTTCTCGAGAATAAAAATCCCCTAAAAAAATTAACTTAATTTTAAAATTACTTTTAAATAAATATTAAGCAATAAAAAGTACGCCATACATATTCATACGTTTCCACGAGAAGCAAGGTTTGCCCTAGCTCAACTAAGCTCAACCGAACTGGTGTCATCGGATTGTCAGCTATTTATATATACGAACATGCGTGACTTAGACGTGGCCTTATTTATGTTAAGTGCGGGATACAATGGGACTGTATTTTCAGCGGCGTTCTTTATATCTTGTCAACTGACTCACTACCTGTTAAATTTAACGGCTTCAGTATCTACGCCCAGCTCTGTGCGGATGATGTGCCCTGCCTCACCTGAAGTGAAATAGGAGTCGTTACAGTCATTTTTGCAAGTAAAAAAGGGCGCAGCTTTCTTTATTTGAAGTTTTATGACTTTAATACCCGTTCGAAAATTCTCTAGACTGAGATTTTCTCGACATTGCCAAAATAAGTTTTGGCATTGGAACCCCTTCTACTAATAACCTATTCGGGCGCTTAATAAATTTTCTTAACGATCTGAGATAATCACTTCTGGTGCCTGGCCGGGCACTACCATGTAATACCTTGACTTGGTTAACTAGTTCAGGTGATAGGAAGAGTTTCTCTAGTACTTTTACGACGGCAGCACCATGAGCGTATCTGCCAAACAAAAGCCTTAAAAGGCTAACCTTGACCGACACAGAATAGGTTGTCCTGAAATTAATTGCTCTTCCCAGAGACGGGGTTGGGTCCAGAATAATTGTTTTCCTTTGAGATAATTACTTTTGGTGCTAGGCAGATTTAATGAATTGAGGATCTTTTTAGCAGTGACTGGACTGGCTGTATCCTATCAAATCCTACCAGCAGTAACCAATTCTTTTGCTGGCAAGTTTTTAGAGACAAGGGTTTTCTTGATACCTCCACGACAAACTCTGGCAAGTGACAGCCATGAAATAATAAACTATCAGGGCACTCGGTATTTCTTCCGAAGCTAAACTTTCTGTACCAGAGGTAAGACTAACTGTAGCATACAACAACTCACAGATTTTCATTTCTGCAGCTTAACACCTTGACTTGGGCAATTGATTCTGGTGCTGGCTAGATATTCCTGACAATGATTTCCTTGTCACCGCCAGGACAAGCTCTGGCAAGCAACTACGACACAGTGATCAACTTT